GATGCAATCTAGCTCATGTGGTGTCCTTGGTCCCTGTTGCATGTTGTGTTCTGTGCAACGCTTTTTGGGACTGTGGCCATTCAGCCACCGCCTAAGGAGTCAACTGCCGAATGGTGCACACTTTCGTCGACGAGGATGGGATGCGGCTTGTTAAGGGCCTCTCGGACATATGTGTGGGCGGATGTGTTTTTACGTCTTTAGTGTCACCCTAATATTTCAAAGGCTATTTAAAAAACAATAGTGCTTCTTGGAAAGACGCGTTCCCAGGATAGAAGGCTTCCATGTACTGTGCTGCGTACTCGCCCAAAAAAGACCTAAGAGGTTTTCAACACACAAAGGAATTAGGAAGCTCTTATATGGCCTGAATCCCTGATCATGCTATCCAAATAATTGCAAAAATCTCCTGCAGGCTTGGCAACAACACCTGTTATTCTCTTTGCCTCATCCTGCCATATTGCGAGTGTATGCTAGCATGGATGGCTTCTCACCTCAAACCTAGGGCTGGCAGCGCGTGCACACCCTAAGCGTCGACATGTATGGCTCCTACGTTGTGCCAAGTTGAGGCGCTCATATCTTGAAAATCTCTAAATGGACGCGTCCGAATTGTGATTTCTGTAGCCTTGCAGCCAGCTGTGCTGTTGGTGTTGTGCAGGCTGCTGAGCATGAAATTCCGCAATGATCGACAAAGGATTCTAGGATGCACTAAAAAATGAAAAAGTTCACAGTGGGTGAACATCAGACTTGCTTGAAGACCAGAGTGTTTTTACTTTTTGCCATCGATTGGAGCTGTATGGTCTAAGGAGCAGGAGATGATTGGTATGGATCGATCTGCTACGATTGGCCTTGAGTGAGTGAAAAAGCTGGGCACTTCTCGGGTGCTTAACACTGATTTCAAGGAAACATCAAGAGTAAAATGCCAGCTGTACCGTGATTACGAAAGCACATTATGAAATTCTGGGAAAGCGTCTTTCAAAGAAACGCTATTGTTAAAATAGCCTTTGGAACGCAAGGGTATATATAGTTATATAATATATGATATGTATATATACACACACACACACACCTACACCGTGACCTGCGGTTGACTGTGTGACTGTATGCGTTTTAGGCTCTTGGATTTTGGAAGCTGAGACGAAACATCAAAAGTCCTGATTCCTGATAATAGCATTGGTTTGTGAACAGACTGAATGAAGTCAGCTACACCTGTAAAACCCTCCCAATCCCCTCCTACCTGTGCATCCGCGACCTGGCAGCTGGCCGGATTGGTCAGGGACCCAGCCCCGCACTAGACATTGGACATGGTTTTTTTCCCCAGCCCCAGAGCCTGGTCCCTGTCTCTCAACATTTTGGAAGCGGTGGAATTAACTTTGGCGAACGAACACCAATAGGGGTCTGACAGTGACAGAGAAGGAATCGCTTTTTCCACCGTCCGGTTCGGGTTTCCCGCGCGGGGTTCGAAGGGTGACGCGAAGGTGTGTGAGATTGGCACCAAAGCTAGTCGAGATAACCCAACAATGAAAGTTGCAATTGCTTTTGGGCGAGGAGCCAGCCAAAGGTTCGCTGTCATACAAAGCCCGTTGGCAATCCCCTATTGAAGTTGGAGATTAAAGCAAAACCTTGTTTGTGGATCAACAAAGGCTGGTTGAAACATGTTGAAACTGTACGTGTGCGAGCTGTTGTGGAACATGTGATTCTACATGCGCCAAGCGGAGCTTGAGGTGTGTAGCTGTAAATCCACGTTGCTCCCACCAAAGATCTGGTCTAGCATGTACACAAGACAACTGGCCCGATCGCCCTGGCCAAAGCCAGCAAGGTAGACAGCATGAAAGCAGGTCCGGCAACAAGAACTTGCTTTGCTGGTGCTCAAGCCTAAGAACCCAAGAGAATGAGAGAGCAAGCCAAAGGGCTGTCCAGCCGGTCCCAAAACGGTCAACAAATGCTTCCCACTTAAGTGATGACCCCATGTTGGCCATGAATTCCAACAAGTCACTCCATAGGTCGTGGGTAACCGCTCCCCAGCTGCCCCGTCAAGGACATGTGGATTGGCAATGCCAGATTGCTTTTCTGCATGAGTGGGTGGAAAGCGCTCATCCATTCGCGCTGTCCCTGCGGAATCGGCCCACGCTTTCCCGGGCTTGCGCGCAGTCCGGCGCCGGGGCGAAGAGTGTCAGGTGACGTATACGCAGCCAGACGATCGCTCAGACGGTCGGATACACGGTGATAAGGACTTAACTGGCGCTTCTCTTCAGAAAGCCTTACTCTGCGACCGTGTAAGCGTCCTCGGCATCAAAGCCATCCCCCTCCACAGCCCATCAAAGCGGGCTCGGCTCCAGTTCTTGTTGCTTCGCTCAAATTTGTATCGTGCGTTGGACATAATCCTTCTTGCAAGAGCTTGAACCCAAGTTTCGGCTCTGTCTCCTGGGCAGCTAGATTTGCAAACACTGTCCCAAAAGCCTTGTTTCATACAGACAAAGCTCTCGGGTGGTGGCATGCCTATAGGGACCTTGGAACGAATCGGCGCGATTATTTTGCGCGGGGCCCATCCATTGGACTATGCCATACCAGACGATGAAGGTTTGGCATTCTTCTAGATGGCATGCTTCTCATAGAGCTTAAGAGCCATGTCAGCCAAGACCTCGATGGGGTCCGCTGCACAACAACCTTGACTGCGCATATCCGCTGCGAGCGCCAAAAGCACAGGAGTACGTATTTTAGACCGAGTTCTCGCGTGTTGGAAGGCTTGTCCTCCTTACAAAGGACGAGCTGCTGAGCTTTTCGTTTGCATTCAACCAAAAGAGGTACCACATCTGCCAAGCTTCTGCGACGGCAGACTGGTCCGAACAGATCGGCCCGTCGACCAACTCCACTGATCGGGATTCCGAGTCAAAGTCCAAAGCCTTAAAGCTAGGGAACCCCATTTTCTGTGGGATTTTTTCCAACGTGTTTTGGAATTTTTTTTCCAGGTTCTGTTGTCTTCGAGGGAGGAAGGAAGGAAGGAAGGAAGGCAGGCAGGCAGGCAGGCGGGCAGGCAGGGAGGCAGGAAGGAAGGAAGGAAGGAAGGAAGCCAGGAAGCCAGCAAGCGAGGAAGGGAGGAAGGGAGGAAGGAGCAATGTGTCAGTGCCGGGATGGTCACTATACTTTGTTTTTTGCGGGGGGGGCGCTGCGCCCTCCCCCGCACCCCCTCCCGCTCTTTTTACTGATGGCATTGCTACAGCGCAGCACGACAGCCAAGAAAACAACCAAGCGCATACATCCATACCTCCCTCCCTCCCTCCCTGCCTGCCTGCCTGCCTGCCTGCCTGCATCCATACATACATACATACATACACAGACAAACTTACATACATACACTACATATGCATGCATGGGCTTACTTGTCCTCCTTTTCCTTTTTCTCATTCTCCTTCTACTCTTCTGTTCCTTGCCTCCTATGCTAGTTGTTTCTCCTTTTATCATGTTTCTCCTTCTCCTTCTACTCATTTGTCCCTTGCCTCCTGCGCTAGTTATCTTTCTTTTTCTCTTTGTGGCAACCCCTGACCACAAAATACCACAAACAGTGCGGAAAAAATCCCAAAACGCGTCGGAAAAAATCCCGAAAATAAAGGTCGCCCTTTCGAGCTCTGAAGCTGACCAAAACTGAACAGTGCACCAGAAGTTGTCCAAAAGCACACAGTTTCAGAGACACACAAGGCGCTTGCAACACATATAGTACTGCCACCAAAAGAGTTCCCAACCAAAGTGGAGAAAGAATCGGCTTTGAAGAATGTACCTTGTAGCAGCACTGAGAAGGAGGGATTTGTTTTGTTTGTTTGCGTCCCTCGTGAGAACCTCCTGTCAGAGCAGTGACAGTCACTGCTCGGATGAGCTGGCCTGCAGGTGGGCAAGCTGTGTCACCCTTTGCACCTGGCTGCAATGCACCCCATGTGCGTATTTGTGCAGCAGATGCCACCCGTGCTTGGTAGTGTTTCGTCAATCTCCATCCAAAAACCATCATTTCTTGATTGTGATGAGCTTTCTATTTTCTCATACATACCAACTTCCGATATGTTCTTTCCATCTCATCTCACATGCAGCTTCCCACTGGAGTCCAAAAAAGTTGGCGCTGCGTTTGTTTTGGCGCGAGCAACCCTAGACATATGTATATATATATATATGTTTTTCAACCTTGACTTTGGGTTTTTGAGCTCAGTGACTAATGTTTGTGAAGTGAGTTGAAGCCACCAACTAAAAAAACTATAATTACATACAATTTTAGTTACTTTATGACTTATAATGTGAGTAACCATTCCACACACGGATGGTTTGTGACCACATGAAACGAGCGTTCATCCTGGCCGCTATACAAACCGAAGAGCGACATGCCGTCCTTCGCATGGCCACCGAGATCTACATGTCTGACATGACAGTGGCAGTGGAAGCAAGAGGTGGATTGAAAGAACCTCTTGCTTATATCCTGCCCGGTCAATGCTCAACCGTGGCAAAGCATGGGATTTACAATCCGCGTCCGCTTGCAACATCCATCACTTGGAACGGCATTTTTGATCCCCCCAGACAGGCTGGAACAAATGACTCACGGCAATGCGCCACGGTTGGTGCTTCCCCTGTCCCTGTGCGTGTTTCTTTGTCGCAGCCCACCAGAGGTCACGAAGAGTTGTGGCCCTTCCTAGTCCATAGGGTTCCACCTGAGTCCGAGAGGGCAACCACCGTCCATGCACATTGCGTTGGTTTTTCGGTTGGCGTGGGTTGCCCGTAAGAAACGTTTTCGAAGGCCAAAGTATGGTCAAAGCAAAGCATCATGTCGGCATACTTCATGGTTCAGTTTGTAGAAAGGCACTCCCTCGCAAACACACATCAATTGAGACAACATCCGGCCATCGTGTGTTTTTTTTTACGTTTTTTGATGTTCTTTGTTTTTGTTGAGTATGAATTTTGGTGGATGCCCTCCTGAATCGAGATGATGTTCTATCCTTGCTGTTTACCACGTCCCTTCAGTCTTGCAGGCAGAGGAGAAACGAAAGAAGGAGGCAACATTGCTGCATTTTTCTTCAAGCGACGGTCAACGACCTTTTGGCAGTGTGAAAATATCAAAAATCAAGTTGAAAGTAAATCCTTGCAAATTTGATCCAACAAAATATAGATGACACATTTTTTGTTGTTTGTGGAGTACCCTTTGCTCAACAAACATCATTCATGATCAAACCATGGAAACTCCGGCGAACGGTCAGCTTATGTGACCGGTACGGAAGATCGTTTTTCCGTCACGGATGGACTACCAGACAAAGACTAGGACGATATATCCATTTATTTACCATTGATGCCAGTGCACCTTAGTGATTCATGAACTGCTTTGGATTCTGGACCGTAACTGGTACCATCTGGTACCCATGGACTGCGAGTCCATGGCCTTGGAAAAAACGACCTCAAACGCCGGTGGTGTTTGATTCATCAGTTTAGATATTCTTTTACACCTAACGCGATCCCAAGTTTGTGCGAAGGGAACTGCAAGCTGTCCCTGTGCCAGGAAGAGGAGGCTGCCAAGAAAAAGACTGCTGAAGAGGCCTATCGGCAGATTTGGATCGATGAAGCTGTCAAGCTGTCAGATGATGTGGAAAAGTGTTGGGAAGGTAGTCTAAGCTGTAAACATTCAGTACTTGTTCTACCTACTATATACTAAGAAGAACCTCCCCAAACAGAACAAGCCAGATTTGAGACACGTTTGAAGATTGTATTACAGACCAAAGACAGTGGATACATGAGGCCTTTGTTCATGGTTTGATTATTCTGGAATATTCTGACTCGTTTTTGGCTCGACAGGGTCCTGTTTGTTGGCCTTGCTTTTCATTTGAGGCAGCTTGTTGCCATTCTGTGAGAGTCCGAGTTTGCGTTCTTTGGTTTAAGAAACTTCGGAGAACGACGTTGAGATGTTCCAGAAGCCGCTCCGTGAGGCGGCCCAAGAACGGAAAAAGCTCTTCCGGACCAAGTCCCAACTGTTGGCCGAAGCGGAAGAGGAGCGCCGCAAGGCGTGGCGGAAGTGGACGTCGAATGGATTTGAATGTGAATACGGAGAACCCCGTGTGGCCCGGTCTTTTTGGTCTATGTTCCCAAACCTTCCAGGGGGTCGGAACTCCTGGGTCAGACTGAGCGTCTCACACCCATTTGGCCGGGCCCATGGATGGAACCGGCAAGGTTTGCTTCCGTCCCGGCCGGGAGTGAGTGAAAACGGCTGGAAAGAACCGGACAAAACCGGATGGTTTTGGTCCTGCCCACTATGATATAAATTTACCTGGGCCCCCCCGGTTCGGGGTGTCTAATAATAGCTCCTTAGAGGTGATCCGGGGTGTCCATGAACCACCCCGACCCTGACTGGGGGTCCTGGTATATGTTTGATATATTACAATTATCAATAAATGCAAACCTGAGGGTAGCAGGTTTTATTGTTAGTTACAACTATTGGAGGGGGATGCTACTGTTGTCATGTCGAGTATGGCAAGCTAGTTGACCCGGGGTCGGTCGAGACCGACCAGTCTCACCCGTGGTGCGGACAGGAACGCGCACGGAGACAGGAGGAGGAGTTCGGATGCGCCATCGCGGGTGGATTCGAGAAGGAGCGGACGGTGGCAGTTGTTGGGGCAACTCGCCGGAGCGAATTGGAACGCTGAGTGGAAAGCTATACTACAAACACAACTGCAAAAGTGTGTGTGTGTGTGTAACCCTTGGAATCATAGGGATCCTTTTGGATTGGTCCGGTTTGCTTTTTTGCTTTGTGTTACAGCAGGGGGTAGCGGCAGATCACTTGGGACCGCTACCAACGAAGACACCCATTTGATCTGGTGATATCGGAGTTGGTCACTCCGACGTACCTGCCATTTTCCTTCCGTTCTGAATGGCATGAGGCTAAGCCAAGAACCTCGAAGTTTTGATGTTTTCTTTGAACTGCAGATGCGAGCGGAACGTCGTCAGCCTGTTCGTCCGTCGTTCGTTTTCTTCGTCTTTGGGCCATTTCTCCGTTTGAAGACCCCCAGGATTCGCTGGTTCCCTACCGATACTCTTAGGAAATGGAACCCTAGGCCGGCGTGTGGCACCGCAATCAAGTCAGTACGCATATCCATGAGTGTGTTTGGCTTCGTGCCAACCCGGGATGAGCCCGCAGAGTGCCTCCCGTGGACCCGTCGAACGGGTGTACGTCGTTATCTCCCCTGCCCGGAGATGTACGTGCCCACAGCGGGCAGTAGTTGGCTTATGCCTCAAGAACTGGGATGTTTGTCTCATTTTTGGAATTCCAAGCTGGCTCATGCCTTTACGTGACCGCAGCGGTCCAAGCTGGCTTAACGCCTCAACGTGGTCAGAGCGACCGAAGTACTTTTGAGGTTCATTGGAACCTGTCGAGCACTTAGCCCCCCCTTCTCCCCCTTCCCTCCCC